GTTTTCCCCGCCCCGTTTCCACCTGTAGATGGAGAACTGATCAGTATTAACGGAGAAGACACTTTTACCAGGACTCAGACTTTGCCTAACAAAGAGAAGGTAAGGAAGTATTAAATTTCCTATTCACTGCTGCACTTCTTTGTTTGGAAATCTTAAAAGCCTAATGTAATTTAGCTTCATCTCGTAGTTTTCATCATCTTTAGCAATACATTTACACACTTCTTAGCTGTGACTAAAATAATACAAATGCGAAGAAATCACTGTTGCTGAGTTTACAGCACGACAGGATCTTCTCCAACGCTGTGTTGTTGTTCTCTTTTCTGTTGTAACGTGAATTTGTCATGGCAGATTCGCATTATCACGCAATCGCCGCTCTCCGTGGTGCTCAATGTATGAGTCCTTGTCGGGTTCACGTGCACGGTTATGGATGTGTTTTGGTATATTTAGAAGACGTTAAACAACGTATCACAACATCGATAACGTGTTTAAACATACCCCTATATAGTTAACATTTGTGCTCACTTCTCTCTTCACTTTAAACAAACAAGTGTATTTGCCCAATTATTTTTTAAATTTAGCATTTAAAATATCACATACCTTAAAATCTTTCCATAATCAAATGCTAATTGTAATCATCGGTTTAACTGATGAACTATTATTTCTAACCTTTAATCTAGTGATTTATACTACCCTTTTTAAACACTAGGAATATACAGTGCACCATTGTCCGCTGGTTTTGCTGACGTGTAATGTAGTTAGAGCAAGTGACCACGTAGGGACGGTATAGACCGTCACATTTAGACGTTCTGGTCTATGACTTCGGGCCCCTCCCATCCTACGTTCAGCAAATGATGCATTTGTGTGCTTTGTTACAAAGAGAGCTCGGACAACAACGAACGGTGGTCTTTATTTGAGAAGATAGAGAAAATTGCTTTGGACTAATTATACATTCATTTCCATTCATTGGTTGCTGTGACATATTATCTGGCGTTTCTATTGTGCCTTCGCCTGCTGTGTAAATATGCTTTTACCGCATAGAAGAAGCTTTCTGTGGATTAATCTGTTATTCGTTCTGCTGGATTGTTATTGGGAAACGGTTTCTGGGCAGCTCTCTTACTCCGTCTCAGAGGAGGTGAATCTGGGGACTGTTGTCGGAAATGTCGCGAA